AGATTTAGGTAATATGTTTGTTTTTACTCGTATATGGTATGTCTGATGGCTCATAAAAGCTTCAATTCAGAGGTTTGTAGCATTTGAAATTTCTAGGTGAAACTAAAGCTAACGAATGCAAAATGTTGAGATCTTGATTTCACTGGGTGAGAAAGCAAATATATACTCTAATGAGCCCAATTGAAATGCATTAGAGGAAGCTAAAGATGAAGGTGTGTCAGGATAGACTATATTCTTCTGTGAGTTTATTGTAAGCTGATGCAAAAAAAAATATTGTGCTTTAGGTGCTGTAATTTAAGTTCAAGCGTTCAAGAGACTGACTCAATGGCAATTCTAATCAGGAGAGAATCACATGTCAGACATACGAGCTGATCCTCACACAGAAAACTACCATCTTTAGCTGCAGGCTTGGTCTGATTACTGTCTTTGAAGGACCCCTGTCTTCTATAACTCTTGCAAAATAGTTTGGATTTATACTCCTTAGATTTTGGCCATTGTACTTCACCTTTGCTTTAAGTAAATGCTCTGCTTAGGCCCATGGCTGATACATGTTTTGTTTTGTGTGTTCACAGGAGAAAGACCATGCTGTGTTTCCTTTCAGAAAATTAAAATCTTGAAAAAAATAAAATGTTCTTTTTTCATTTAGAGAAGGGTGGTGCTCTTTTACAAGCCTTATCAGAAATTATATGTACTTAGACTTAGACTTGTTTTTTAAAGTGTTAGTGAAATTGGAAAAGGTTTGACAGAAGATCCCGTTTCAGTTGCGTGTTCTTAAGATTATCGTTGTGTCAGACCTTTACTATTTTTCTTCTCATAAAGCAGCTCCTAGACAGAATTTCCAATTTATTTTGACTTCAGGTGCAACTCTTGGCTCTGTGCTCAAGTAATCTAACTACAGACAGTGGAGACACGCTTGTTAGCCATTCATCCACCATCCTCCCCCACAGCAACACTGGTATGTGTTTTGCCCTGTTTGAGAGCTGCTTTAGCTTGTTGAAGTGGCATAAAGTGTGCATTTATTTGTCTAACAGAAGGTTAGCTTTGTGTTGTGCTGATGAATTGTGTTGGCTGGGAGTGCTAATGCCAGTGCCAGCCTAGTAAGGGAGAGGAGAAGATTGTACTGTTTGGCAGCAGGATGCTTCACTAGCTTTGCTGTACGAAGGAGTGCCAACAAACGGAGAGCTGAGACATATATTTCATTTGTGGGTCTGGACCCCTAAGACCCATGCACAGCAGGCTGAAAACCATTACACTACAGGCAGGACCTAAAACTTCCTTCTGTCAAAGTCTAAATTTAAATGATTAGTAATGATTCTTCTTTACTTGTGTGTCAGTACTGAAGAAAATGGATAAAATGTAATTGCCTGGTTTTTGAGATCAGTGTTACATGTGATCTTTCTGATCATGAATTTCTTCAGCAAAAATATTAATTTACTTCCAACATAACCTTCTTCAGTGGCTATATATGAAGTGTTTAACTAAATGTGTAATGGACTTTGATTTTAGAGAATGCAACTTCGCATTTTGTGACGCATTCTACTGCTTTGAGTTATAAGAATAATTATTTTTTTAGCCCTAGTTCAGTAAGAATTGTTTATGCTTACTTTTGTCTGGATGTACCACTGTGTCAGCCTGTGTTTAAAGCTGTGACTTTTTATGTTAAGATTTGAGAGATGTGTGTGAGCCTGCTTCTGCCTGTACTTGGCAAAATGAGAAAAGCCTTGGAATGAGAGGAACACATTGGTAACCTGAATGGGACGAAGCAATGGTAAAAGTTATCAATCTTCCCATGCAAGACAAATCATAAAAGATAAATAACTAGAACGTCCTGTCTGTAACAAGAGAGCTGCCAGGATAAACCATCTGTGGTCATCACTTGAAGCTCTGTTACATGTTTTAAGGACTTTCTGACCTACACACACGTATGTGGCTTTATACACGGGAAGGTCTCAGCTCTTGATTTAAGTGTGGAGTCTTTTGGTTTAGGAAAAGGGTTAATTTTCTTTAGTTGGATGTGAAAAGTTTTTCCACATGTGTTTTGGTCAACATGCAGTAGTCATGCAGCAGTTGATGAAAGGTTTATTTTTTGCACTGTTTTAAGCTCTTTCAGTGTTTAAATATGCTTAACTCTGAAAGTGAACACTAGGTGGTACCATTTCATAACTGCAGCTATACTTGGTGCTTCAGCAGGCTGTTCTGAAGCTGAACTAGTCCCTCCAACAATTTTTTATGAGAGACCTACAAGAGAGGGAGCCCATAGGAAGCTGGAGACGGACTTTTTACAAGAGCATGTAGTGACAGGACAAGGGCGGATGGCTTCACACTGAAAGAGGGGAGATTTAGGTTAGACAGTAAGAAAAAATTCTTCCCTGTGGGAGTGGTGAGGTGCTAGCACAGGTTGCCCAGAGAAGCCGTGGCTGCCCCATCTCTGTCAGTGTTTAAGGCCAGGTTGGACGGGCTTGGAGCAACCTGATCTAATGGAAGGTGTCCCTGCCCATGGTCTCTTAAGGATGATCTCCTAAGGTCCGTTCCAACCCTGTTTTGTGATTCTGTGGCATAAACTGTGATCATATCCTTTTAATTAGAGTATGTTTAATTTCTAATTCTAGTTCTGATTCTGACAAGCTGATTGTGGTTCAGGAAAGTAGGCAAAAGCTTGATTAGCTCTACTAAGCTGTTATGTAAGGTAAGAAGTACAAGTACTTTTACAAAAATCATAGAACCAGTTTCACTGAAGATGAGGTGATGTGCATAAACTGAAAGACAGTGGGTTTTCCCCAGTTCCCTTTTGGTTCCCATTTGTTTTTGAACTTGTATGTTCAGAGGAGGCTAAAAAGCACCAATTGAGACATGACGTCAATGTGCCAGAGTCATCTGGTTTTAGTTAAAAAATACCAGTTTAGTTAGTAGTAGTTTCGTAGTACAAGAAAAGTTTTAAATATTACATGAACATTGAACAGCTAAAGCAAGTAACAGTAACATGATTTCATTCATGTACTTTATTTTAATCTCTTTTTTCAGAGTAGCTGCCAAGTCAGAAGCCAATCAAAGTGACCCACTAAAACCACACTAACCTGAGCAGTTGGCTTTCATACTGCTGTTTCTACCTTGGTACCTTGATAATGAATTACAAGCTACAGCCTAAAAGTGCAGTGATGGGAATCAGTCTTTCTGGGATCACTCCTTCTATCTAGCAACTAACAGCTGAGTTGTTTGACCACCGAGCTGTCCTAATTGTAACATGGTTTAATTTGCAGCAGGGCAGAACAAGTGTGTGCTGGTAGGGTAGCAACTGTTTTCTGGGTGAAGGGTTTCCATATTAGTGCTGTTTCAAACTGAATTTTGTAGCATTTAAGACAGATTCATTTTTATCGAAAATGGGCCAGGTGAATGGTGATCTTTCCACAATGTCACCTAGGAAATCTGGTTTTTAAGAAGTAGGAATTCTAGTTCTCTTCTTATTGATTCATTTACTTTGTGCCATTTTTCATATTGTGCTGCTCTTGGGCCAGTGTCTCTCAGGACTAATATTTATTGTACATTTCAGAATCTGTTGCAACATGAAAATCAAGTCTTTAACTCCAGGCACAAAACAGAAATGTTCTCTGCTGAGAAGATTTAGATTATAACAGAATGTAACAGCTGTGATGCTTTTTTTTTGCCTTTTTTTTCTTTTTCCTACAGATATTCTTTCTGTTTGGATATGACTATAGCTTACCAGTTTCAGTGCAGGTTAAAATGACCTTCGTTACACCAGTAATGTCACTAAAAAGTACTTTTGTTTGAAAGGTGGGAAAAGTAGAGAATTGCAAGTGATTCACTCCATGTAAATTAGATCCAAAACTTGTTTGATAGAGAAACTAGCTTGCATACTTTAATGAAGCCGAAGTACTTAGACTAATAAGAGCTTCTAGTTTAAATGTTGCATACATGCAAAATGTATTTAAAATTAGAAGCCAACATGCTGATAAATGACACCAGAACTGGTAGACCACATTTCATAGTGATGTTTTTAGGACTTTCGGCTTTATAACTATTTTTGGTTAGTGTGGTGCAATTTTCCTTAATCTGCATGATTAAAGGCTGAAGAACTGAGGAGTGGATGGGTGGTGGGAGAGAAAGGGAGAAAATATAAAAACACCCAAGTGGCGTTGAACTGTGGTACTCATTAGACTTACTTTCAGAGACTGAGGAATAAAGTAATTACGTTTTTTGCCATGCAGAAGCAGATTTGAGCCCTGCAAACCCATACTTATTTCTAGACAGTGTGTGCTGCACACTTCTTTATGTTGGATGCTCAGTTATTGTGACACATTTAAATTATACTGAATCACTAGCAGAATTGTTTGATAGCTACAACCTCTTGTACCATCTTGTTTTGGGTGAGATAAAAATGGCTCCAACTGAAAATTTACCTTTCACATCATATTAACTATTTCATTCTGACAATACTGAGTTAGATCAGTGGTGGCTCACAACCACAATGGTTTGTTGTCCTTTTACATGTTGCAAAGTATCTTAAAACAACTGTGCTTGGGAACCGATGGTATTACCAGGCAGGAGTCCAGACAGGAGAAAAATCTGTAAACTTTGGCTCTGGGCACTTTTCCAGAGGAGCAATCACTTCTTTTTTTCTTTTGTTTTTTTTTGTTGTTGTTGGGTTTTTTTGGGTTTTTTTTTGGGCGGGGGGAGAGGGTTGGCAATCGTGGAAGACAGTTTTGTGCTGATATGAACACTCTATTTCCACCAAATCAAAGTAATCTGTTGCTTTGTCATTACAGCAGAATCAACTTTGCATGTTGTTTTGTTTGGGGTTTTTTTTTTGTTAGAGTGATAACAAACCAAATTTGGGAATATACTGAAAGACACATGCAAACTATAGTAATACTGTCAGTAGTGTTGAACTAACAGGTCTTAATCTTGGCTAGAGAATTATTATTTTATAATGAGTGTTTCAGCAAAACAAGCTAGTTGAGTCTTTATTTTTTTATCTTTTCCAGGATCAAATTTGGATCGCTGTGGATTCAGAGGCTCTTCATATTTGGGGATGCCATTCAGTCCCTCCAAGGTCAGTTAATTGAGAATATGTGTACATGTGCGAAATATTTTTAGATAGACAATAAATGTTTTTGTGCGTTTTTTTATAATATTAACTGCATACTCATGGAATACCTAGAAAGCGGGGATTTTTTAACTTAACACACCAAAATGATTGCAGAGCTTTTAAGAAACATGTATAAGAAACATACTGAAATGGTACCACTTGAGTTTCCAGGGCAGAGAAAAAGTTGACCTACAAACTAGGAGTTGTCTCAGTGCACTTTCCCCATTCTCTGGTGTTACTGAAGTAGGGAAACTTCTCTACCTCAAGAGTATCATCTGCTAGAGAAGGGCATAAAACCTCCATGTTAAGTGGTGCTTAATACACTGTTCTTCAGTATTTGCCTTCATGTGATGAAACAGACGTATCTGCTCGAACATAGGCAAGTCTCTGCTCATCCTAATTTTTCTTGACCATAGGAGAGAGTGCTTTGAAGTCTGTGGAAGTGAGGTTCAAGCAAATTGTATCTGTATGCAGAAAGAAAGTGCTCTTAATACAAGAGAAAAAGGAGGTTAGCAGAGGCTGCTAAAGAAGGTATACAGGTGTGATGGGATTAGAAGAGGAAAGTAGAGGCCAGTGTGCAGGAAGGACTGTGAAAGGTACAGTAGTTCTATGCAGTATTTAAAAGTGAGAAGTTAAATCTCACCAAAGAGTGGATGAAGAATCTGCAAGACCACTAATGAATCACCAAGTATTTGATTTTTGTACCAAGCTTTCAAATATGAAGGAATGAATCTTGGGATCTGAAATTGAAAGAAAGGATAGACATCTGATACACTAATGACCCTAAAAATGTGTGTAAAAAATGTTGAACTAATGTGACTGTGAAGGTAGCACAGCAGCCTGTTTTGGCCTTCATGCTTCTGAGTAATTTGTGGGAATGTTAATCTACATTGGAGTAATAATTGCTTATGCCTTTTTGTGTAGCAAGTTATCCAAGTACTCCTAGCAGTAGTATTCAGGGGTACCACTTTCTAACAAGGCAAAAATAATTGTGAGGAGGGTTCTTTACATCTCTACGTGGGGTGCTATGGCTGCACATGACAAGGAAGGTAATTTGTCTCTTAATTTGCTTTGGTATTTATCCTGGTTTACACTACAGATGGTGTCTGCAGTGTGCTCATACTGTAGTAGCAAGATGAATTCAACCTCTGTTTTATTTGCAATTGACAATTGTAGTTGGCAATCCAACTGTCTGATGAGCTTGAAAACAGGAATACTTCTACTTAAAACCTAAGCCAGTTTGGAATCTGTAGTGGTGACTTACTGGGATGCTTTGTTAAAGTTGAAAGACAAAATAGTAGATAAAAATTTTAGTTTAGTTGTGTAAGAAAAAGAATGGTTTTACTCAAAAGGAAGATGTTTTTCTTTGATAAGTCACCTAAGGAAGCTGAGGTTCTTACGCTATTATTGTGGCATAACAGCATTATAAAATGAATGAAGACATAGTTTTACCAACCTGAGATATCAAAAATGTATCAGTCATGTTTCCTCAAAGATCTGGGTCAGTGCCATGTGGTGCATTCTTTTAAGAACCTTATTCAAATCTTCCCCAGTGCATAAAGCTTGAAGAGCAAGTTCTGGATGTAGTTTGAGATCTTGCAAAGGTCCCTGAAGACAGATAGTCCATAAGATCGTCAAAGCATCATTATCCCTTCCCAGCATTTTCTGGTGTTTTACTTTAACTCTTAACTTCCATACTTAAATATTTTCTTTTTAAGAAATGTGTTGCAGCCCATTGGTGTCTTGTAATGTGTTAGCCAATCTGCAGAAGGGACAGAGGCATGGAATCAGATAGCTTGCAGCAATTACCTACAGGGCCATTATCTTTAGAAAACTTCACAGATGGACATGCTTTTTGTTCAGGCATTGCACTACTTTTTTCATTGCATCTGCTTTAGAGAGATCGGATCTGCTTGATTTATCAGCATACAAAGATTTAAAGTGTTTTCAGTATTATTGCCCTAAAATGTTCTGAAATTACTCAGAAAAAGAAAAACTTGGTAATCCACTTTGAATTATGTTTAAGGTCTTATTATTTTTCTTTATTCATAATTTTAAAATGTTCCATTAAATCTCTCTCTCGAAAAACAATTTTTGGAAAAGCCTATAAGCATTTTGGATTTGCATTGACAGTTACTGTTTATTACATGCCACTCCAGTGATTTCATTCTTGAACTCTGAGAAGATGCCATCCTGGAGGTCTCCAAATCTCTTCTGTCTCCAAAATAATAGAAAAAAGCAAGGGATATGTTACAATTTCCAACTTTACTAAATATTACCAGGATAGCTCTTTTGGTTTGGGGTTTGTTGGGTTTTTTTAGCTGTTACCGTTTCAGTGCTTGAATGTAGTGTCTATGCAGCTCTTTGGGACTGTAGGAAAAGTGAGCAAAACTTTATCCATGTGACCAACTCAACACTCACAGCCATAACAAGCCTTAACAGTCTTAACTGTAAGTGAAGGCAGAGGGCTGCTTCTGTCACTGCATTTAAATATGAATCATTTAAAATAGGGTAACAATTATTTTCTGAAATGGCTCCAGGTTCTGCAGTCTGTCTGATCCAATGTTACTGGAGTTTAAACTAGCTTTTTACTTTAGAGGGGAAGATACGGGCTTAGGTCTTTTCAATCTCTAAAGTGTTATGAAACAGTTTTAGGGGCTGGATTGAATACCTGGAACTTCTGTGTAAGATTGCAGTAAATAACATGTGCTTTTACTTGGGGAAAAAAGGTATGATTTGTGTTGCCAATACACTGTATTTTCTCAAGGATGAAACAATCCATGTTTGTAACACTGGTGCCAGGTGTGAGAATAAGGTTTTTTCAAAGTGGCACTCTGGTTGTGTAGAAGTATGTTTAGGAGTATGGTTACTAGTATTCTTTGTAAATGTTTGGAGAGATCTTACCAATGTTTTTGCAGCAGAGGGAGTTTCCTGGCTGTCTTTGCAGTGGTCAGTGGGAATTGTTGGTGATCATGAGTTATATTTAAATAGCTGTTCTGTATTACGTGGTAGGGAACATTACCATGTCACTGAAACAGATTTAAATGTTTGAAAGCTTCCCCTTACCTTGCATCTTTCAGCATCAGGTCTTTTAAGGAAGGCTCAGATTGTGAAGACCATGATGGTAACACCCATATAGCAGAACTGTTTCACTCTGTCACCAGTATCCAAGTTAATCTGTTTACTGTGTACCTTACAGACCATACTTACTTAAATAAGTGAATTGTAAGAGAGAACAGGGCCGGGCCATATCACCGTTGTTGTCTCCTCTGACACTCTCTGCACCAGTGCATTACTTCAGATCAGTAGAGGGCACTTGGTAAGAGCAGTTTAATGTACTTTCTCCAAAAGAGTGAGACGTACAAACCAGGCCCCTTTTAAATCAGACTAAACCAGAAGCTGCATTCTGAGTGAACTTCTTCATGAGTGGGCTGCTCACCCATGGAGCCAGGCTACAGCTGGCATGGATTGTGAGATGCATATGGTGTAGGCACTGGTACCTCAGCACCTACTGTTCTGCCCTCCAGACCTGCTCCTGTTGCATTACTCCTTCATGTAGACATATCCTTGCTAGATTAAATATATTTCTTCTGGTTGTTCAGTCTGTGTTTAACAATCCATCCACAGTTTAATAGCTTTCTTGGTGCCAGTTTTAGAGATATAACTTCTGCTGTTCTTAAAATAACTTTAAGCTGATTGTATGTGCAGGCAACAGATACCATTGTTTGCTCTATATATTCATCATTCAAGCATAGTTCATGCATGGTCTTTATTAAAACTACCAGACCTGCAAAATTGTGTATAGCTCTGGAACTGCTGAAACCCTGTTCTGGGAAAAGCAGTGTGCTACCGCTACATTTTGAAATGTTTGCATAGAAAATGAAATATATTTAGAATTTTTACTTTGGATACTGTAGTGATTGATACAATTTGTTTTGGGAGGATGGTATTACTTAGTTTCATGACCATACAGTATATGTGGTTATCACACTTTGTTTTTACTGCAGCAAGTAATATTGTAATAGAAATACTAAAATACAGAATTCATTAAAAGTAAGGGGCCCAGTTATTTAAACCTGCTTGTAGGCTACCGAAGCTTTACATGGCATTAGCATGCGTATAGAAAATTACAATTTTTTTAAAAAATAAAATCTTGTGAAGTGGGAATTTTTAGTTTATGTAGACATTGTGTGAAAAATCGTCACTTGAAAGAGAATGTTATTTGAGAACTACAGATGCCATAGAAAACTTCCTGAACGTCCAAGCACACTTGTAGTATTTAGAACATCTGGGTAGTTTTCCTAAACACAGTTTTAAAAAGCAAGTCTGAATATCCTTAGAATAAACCTTCCTTGCTTAGCGAATGTAATCTTCCTCTGGAAATTACTTTTTCAAATGTAAAGTCAAACTCTTTCACTATTGTCTATTACTGTTCAGTCATTCCTGATGTCTGTTGATTGGAGTTGAACTACCTGTTAAAGTGTGTAAACAGCAGTGGTGAAGAGTTAACATTGATTTGCACACTCTGGCATTTTCAGTGTGTTTGTGTGAAACAGAGGCATCTTCTGTACTTCCAAGTAGGAAGAAATCAAGTGTTCTTCTTAATCCAGTTTAATTTCAATTACACAGATGTTTAAAAACTTCTTTTTCTTTGGTAGCTGCTGATGGGAACTACCGGGACGTTTTATAGTGGTTGGTCCTAACATTAAGAACCTTTCTGGGAATTTTTCATCAGCTACAGTGTCTTGTATTCTGTTTGACAAAATATGTGCCAAGCTTTAGCTACAGATATAGAGAATTGTTTTAGGGCAAGAACTGTTTCAAAACTGGCTTTTTGAACAAGAGATATGCTTTGCTTAAAATTAGTAATTAATTACATTAAACTGAATACTTCTTTGTTAGGGCAAATTCGTGTCACCCTATATGTCTGGATTTTTTGTGCAGAATGTTATATTTTAAGTAAGTTAATGCCTCAAAAGGGTTAAGCTGCTTATAATAAAATTTCCAAGGGGAAGGTATTGTGAAAAGATTTTTTGTTTTGATTAATTAGAAATCCTTAAAGTTTGAGTGATAGGCCAAGTTTTTCCTTCTGGGATTAGAGCCTGTCATCCACTAAAGTTAGAAAAACATGTTTCATGACTGCAGTAGATTTTTCTAAGCTATTTGAGGAAGTAGCTGTCCTGCATCTGTTGCATGCTTCATGGGGAAGTCTGTCAAGGATTGGTTCACCTCTGCTACAAGGAAGGCTGAGAGACCTGGGACTGTTCAGCCTGGAGAAGAGAAGGCTCTGGGGCGTCATGTCAGTGTATTTATAAATACCTTCAGGGAAGCTGTAAGGAGAATGGAGACAGGCTCTTTTCAGTGGTGCCTAGTGACAGGACCAGAGGCAGAGGGCACACACTGAAACACAGGCAGTTTCCTCTGGACATTAGAAGACACTTTCACTGTGATGGTGACTGAGTACAGGCACAGGCCTGTAGTGGCCTAGGTAGTGGAGTCTGCATCTTGGACATACTCAAAAGGTCCCGGGCAGCTGGCTCTGTGTAACCCTGCTTGAGCAGGGGTTTGGTCCATATCAGTCCCAGAGGTCCCTGCCAGCTTCCCATCACTGTGTGATGGTGTGTCTGTGGCTGGATGTGCGGGGCAGGAGACAGTGACAGGGGCACTGGGAGCTTAGGGGTAGGAGTGGGAGCTGTTGAGACTGGTGCCCCTACTCAACAGAGATCCTGGGCTGGAGGTGAGGGAGAGGAGGTGCAGCTTTCAGCACTCCTTTTTTCCTCTTGTTTGCCCAGCTAGAGGTTTTTCAGTGCTGCTACAGCCATTTTCACTTTGTTTTTTGCCTCCCTTTCCCAACTGTGTTTGTTTCCCTGGCGTGAGAACAGTCCCTTGCTGTCTACTGGGTAATCTTCCAGTATTTTTCTCCCAATTTCTTACTAGAAGCAAAGCTTTTTGGTTTTGGAAATAAGCATGACTTGTCTGAAGAATACCAATTACACAGAACATAATCATAAATTAGATTTCATCCTGCTTTTTGAATGTGTTTATAGGATGAATTGCAAAATAAAGAAGCAACTGACTAGGCAATAATGCGAGTAAAGTGTGACTTAAAAACTTGTCTCTACTACTCAGTACTGAAATAGCTTTTATCCTGTTCAAAATAGCTGTCTTCTAGTTGCTCCAGATTGAGCCATCCCAAGTATCCAGAGTCATCTTGTTACATGTGGTTTCTGTTTTTGTGAAGTGGTACAGTCCAGGATACAGTGGTACAGTGCCTATAAAATATCAGAATGAAAACTAGTAATTTAACACAGCTGTATCAATCCCCTTGCACATTATAGTGATTTCTGTAGCATGTCTAGTCAGCATACAACTCTATTTTCGCTTCTCTTGACATTATTTGCTGTGTAAATACTTCGTTTAAGCTCTGGATGTTGTTTTAGAATAGAGATGAAAGTAGATGAGAGGCTAGTTTGGTATTGCTTCAGTTGACAGAGAGATTACTTATAATCCCTCACACTGCTTTCTACTTGTAGATTATGAGATTTTATAATCTTTGGTGAAGGTATCTCCAGAGGTTTGGCTACTTCACAGTGCTTACCCAGCTTCCAGGAAGCTAATGCTCAGTGTCAGGACAAACACATCCCATCTCTTTGCTTAACTCTTAATAAATAGTACTGTTGGCAAAGCTTTCTTCCAAAGCTTCTACTGACTGACTGTTTACAGGGGTGGCAGAGCGGTGCCGTAGCTTAGTTTCATTAGAAAAGCTGTGTGGAATGCCTGTAGTTCAGCCATAATGAGTGAAGGGAAGAAAACTTTGTCGATCTCTTCTTTTTTAATTATTTTTTTTTTTTAATGCTTTACTGTAACATAAGGTCTTATGATGTTTCTATATTTTTATTTTTCCTCCCTTTTTTCTAGGGTCCAGGTTTGTCTCACCCCTATGATAGCGGGCATATAGCAATGACTTACACAGGTCTGTCATGTCTGGTTATTCTTGGAGATGATTTAAGTAGAGTAAATAAAGATGCCATACTGGCAGGACTGAGAGCTCTCCAGCTGGAGGATGGAAGGTAAAAGATTTTATATTCTGCAACTCTCTGGAAGATAAATAGAAAACCCAGATGTGGAATGAAACATAAGAAACATGTTTTTTGTGAAAGTAGCTATGTAATCTTTTCTTTCTGTTAGAAAATACTTTGGTGGGTGATCAGTGTCAGTCATAGAACACGTGCCAGTTTACAGGACTGGACAGCACTTTGCTTTCATATTGGAGAATGACAGTATTTGCTTACAAATCTAGATGCTTATTACTGGGAAGATAATGGATTGGTGTATGTCTTGAGGATGGTAGGTTTTCTGCTCTGTCCTTCGAATAACTGATATTTTCTGTGTTAATATTCTCTGGCTGTTGCAGGACCTGGAACATTGCTGTATTTGCTCAGCTTTGTGAGAGGATGGGCTTTAGATTTGAGAGATTCAAGATAATCAATATACAAGCTGAATTAGCCTAAATACTAGTTACAGTAGGAATGCATCATTAAACTTCATTGTGAGATCTGTCCTTTTTTGTATATTTTTAATAGATGGTATACTCTTTGATCTACTTCTGTTGGTGGTTGGGTTTTTTAATTTTGTTTTAGTGCAGGCTGAAGCTGGTAGCTAATGAAAAATTCTTCTAGTGCACGTGATCAGTCCATGTTAAATTTTACTGAATGTCACTTTTGAAATAATACTTTAAGAAATGCAGCATTATAGAAATGCTGTTACTGAAAGAATTATCTTTCACTTCTCAATGAAATAGCTGTCACTCTTTATTAGTAAAGAAAGCTTTTGTTTTGGTCAGGTGGTTATATATCACTGTCTTGGTTTCAGCTGGGATAAAGTTATTTTTCTTCCTAGTAGTTAGCACAGTGCTACATTTTGGCTTTAGTCTGAGAACAGTGCTGATAACTCACTGACATTTCAGTTGTTGCTAAGTAGTGCTTAGTCTAAATTGGTGACTTTTCAGTCTCTCATGCTCTGCCAGTGAGGAGGGGCACAAGAAGCCAGGAGGGAGCAGAGTCAGGCCACCTGACCCAAACTAGCCAAAGAGGTATTCCATACCACAGCACCATCATGCCCAGTATATAAACTGGGAGTAGTTACCTGGAAGGGACCAGTGGCTGCTTGGGTCAGGCTGGGTATTGGTTAGCGGGCGGTGAGCATTTGTATTGTACATCACCTGTGTTTATTGTTCAGGATGCACTAGTATCTTGAAGGGGTTACTTGTCATGTTGCCTGATTACAGTAATAAGCTACATGCAGTTAACTTCTTCTACATGTCTGTATTTTGTGTGGTTTTAATGTACAGACTGGTAACTCTTACACATAATCCTATGTTCCATATTCCCTGTTTAAGAGTGTCAGCTAGCCTTCATGGGGAGAGTGCTTTGCCCTGGTACAGAATTGTTATTTTGGCAGGAGGAATGGCATACTTTCTAGAGAGTCAGACATTTTCATGTCTGTGAAAACTGCTTTTACTGTCCCAAAGGGGGAAAATGTGTGAAGACCAGAACTCAAGCTAGTATCTTGTCTAAATGGAAACATCAAGCTCAGAGAGGCAAAGACACATTTCTGTGGTGTTACCCTACTACAAAGTACGCTCATCTTAGTTAATAAAAGAAAGATGTGAAGAAACAAACAAAACTAATTTTCTTCTTTTACATTATTAATAAATGTGTGTATTTTAATTATACCTGACCTAGCTGAATCTGATTTGAAGTATCTGGATAACACAGAGTGCAGTTGTCAGCTGAGGATAGAGCAAGATTGTAAACCACAGTACTGGCACCTGTTAACAAGTGTCCTGGTTTCACAGAATGTCCTGTGCCATATCCAGAGAGCAATGGAGTTCATCCCTTATCAGAGCTGCAGAGAGTAGGGCCTGGCACCGTTGAGGTTAGGAGTATCTCCCAGTAAATGCTGGAGGCTCTTCTATCCAAGAAGATAATGGGGAACATAGCTGAATTGCAGGGTCAAAGAGAGAGTATCATAGAGTGGTGGATGAGGAATTGGCTGGATGGTCACACTCAAAGATAATGGTCAATGGCTTGATGTCCAAGTGGAGATAAGTGGCAAGTGGTGTTCCTCAGGGGCTGGTGTTGGGATCAGTGCTGTTTAACATCTTTTGTCAGAGACATGGACAGTGGGATCTAGTGCACCCTCAGCAAGTTTGCTGATGACACCAAGCTGTGACACTCTCCAGCACCTCAATGTCTGTCTTGTAATGACGGGCCCAGAACTGAACACAGGATTCAAGGTGTGGCCTCACCAGTGCCCATTACAGGGGGATGATCACTGCCCTGGCCCTGCTGGCCACACTATTGCTGATACAGGCATCCAAATCACAGTATCCATCTTAATTTTGAGGCTGAGAGAGCATAATATTTTATCTAGACAACCCAGATAAAATTTTAAAATGTTCGTAGAGTTTGAAAAGATGGTCGCTATAAAAAATAAAAACTGGTTTGAAGGTAACTTTCACCATTTGTATTAGAAATGGTAGTGATCACAGTTACATTTATACATACATGGGAAACTGATGATGGAGTTGCACTCAGGAGAGAAAGCCTTGACAGCTAGTAAGATTTCTAGAAAGGCAAAGAATTCTGCCCAAAACAGTAAATGTTAAAATGGTAACTCATACATGAGTATATACTGTGATAGGTGAAAGACTCTAAGCATTAACATCTTTGAATAACTAAAGACAGGTGTCACTACATTGCTGGAGATAAAATCACCCTTTAAAGGCCCCTGAATGTTAATAGTTATATTCATTTTACTTGGCTTAGTTAGAATCACATCTTCTAGAAAGAAAATGTAGCATAGCTTTGGGTTATATTTATGGGAATAATGTAAATAGAAGTAACTAATTTTTAAAGTAAAAATTACAGAATTCCTCAAACTGCTTCTCATATTTTCTGATGTAACAGGCTATACAATGTATAATTACCAAACCATTTGTTTCAGTTTCTGTGCAGTGCTGGAAGGAAGTGAGAATGATATGAGGTTTGTGTACTGTGCTTCCTGCATCTGCTACATGCTTGATAACTGGTCAGGCATGGATATGAAAAAAGCGATAGACTACATTAGAAGAAGTATGGTGAGTATTCACAAACTGTTGTTTCTTACTGTATTTTAAATTTACTAGCTTTATTTCTTAACTATGACTAAAAATCTCTGTGTCCAAATTCAAATATGGCAATTTCTGTTTCTACTTTAGCAAATTGAAAACGAAAAGGTATGTCAGTTTTCTTGCATTTCTGTTTTCATTGCAATGTGTGTACTAGCAAGATAAAATTATCTGGTATGTTTGTTAGTGGCAAATTAAATCTAATCTTTTTTCTTTAAAACTCAATTTAAAATCAAAAGCAAGTGTTTGACAGTTGGGGCCTGATGTTCCTCTAATGTAGAAAGAAATGCATAAATAAGCACTGCATCAGTAAAATTCTCATATTTCAATGAGCTGTAGTCCTGTGTTTTAAATGATATACACAATCAAAGGAAAAAATAAGTATTCATATCAGTTCAAGCTCAGTAAGTATTTCCAGTCATGCACTTCATTATTTATTAGATATTAGAATGAAAGAAAATATTAGAACATATGTATTTTTTTCATGTGTCTCTGCAAGCTGTCTTCATATTTGACTGGAGCAAGAGAGTTTTCAGGGGGTTTTTCATGATATTTCATTTTCCAAAATTAAAATAAATGTTTTTCAAAGAAGCTGAATAAGCTTGAAAGCTAGGGTTCCCAGAATGTAAGTAAACATAAATAGTAAATTCCTGTGGTCGAAAGAGCCAAATGTATAATGGCATATAACTTCTGTTGTAAACCAGTGTGTTTTAGTAGTTGCTGCTAGCTGCTCAATTTGGGTTTTATTTATTATGGATGTAGTTAATTGCATAAGCATTTCTTACTGTATATCACAAGACGCTTTCTGTCATTCTGCCATAATCTTGGACCAACCAAGGTGATCAAGGCAAGGCTCAGTCATACAAGCTTACGGACCAGCAGTCTGTTCCTACTCTAGTAGTACCTTTTATCCCCTTCTCCCCTCTGTTTTCCATTGCTCGTTCCACAGTCTGTTTTGATCTTTCCCTTTTTCACCATTAGTCCTTTCCCTATCCATCCCATAATAAGTTGTGCACGTCCCCGCATTCCCCAGAAAACACCCCATAACAAGTTTTATACAATCGTGGACAGCAGTGGTCTTAGCACGTGCTGATACATAACAAGAGATGCTGTATTTTTGTCCAGATTTACTGTGAATTGGTAGATTGACTATACACTGTGTTTAGCAGGATTTCTTTTTTAAAAAGGAGTCCTGCTAAAGGACACTGTTAATTCTCTGCAGAGCTAGTATGCACACATTATACTAGTTTTGCCGGGGTTTTCTACATGTGCACTGCTTGGTCAGAGCAGCATTTCAGTGCACTAACTTGGTGCAAAGTGTCTGGTACTTCTTGGCAAATACTCAAAATCTTTGCATGTTGATCACGTTGTGGAGTCAAAGATGTGTCTGAAGAAGTCTCAAATGTTCAGGGAATAGCCCTGTGTGAAAATCATTTCATAGTGGTGGTTGTTCCTTCCTCTGATTAATCTCTTTCCACCATCCTCCTTGAGACATGTTCCAATTCAGATACGTCTCACATGAACCAAATTATTTCTTAAAGTGTATTATTTATTAAGATAAATACAATGAAGGTGAAATGTGGGATCCAAGAATGTTAGCTTGATTTCTCCTGTTAAGATTTCATAGATGGTGCTAAAAATAAAGTTTATCTTTTACAATTCAAAGTAATTTCTGTTTGAGATTATTTCAGTTGTTATTCCCTGTGCAACTAACTACACCATGAATATTGCTGTAGACTTTCTTGCATATGCTTATTCCGGGTTTGCTACTACTTCCATTAATTACAAAAAAGACTGCATTGCTCAGTAGTAAACTGCTGTGACAGAAAGGTATGGGCTTGTTTTACTGGCATATGTAATCATATGATAACACACAGCTGAAGCAAGTCAGCCAACTTTTTTTCAGTAATTCAAATTGGCATGTATGTAAAGTGCAGCTAATCTGGATGGAGAGTAACTGGTTAAACACAGTAATCTTTGTAATGAATTTATGGATTTTATAGCTTGTTCTTTGGAATTTATCCTGTTTAGTAATGCAGGGTAAGATTTGTGACAGATATAATTCAACATATCTGAAGGAGGAAGTTGATTTGTGTAGTTAGGCATGTCAAGAAAAACAGAAGATTGAATCACAAAACAATGGTGTTGCTTTATTCGGGGAAGTAACCATGTTAAAAAGGATGGAATCTTTATAAAGAATAGATAGCCTTCTTGACTATCACTTGACTTGAATAAAACTGATGGCAAAACCAATTCTGTATCAGTTTTATTGTCGATAAGACAATCAGATTCCAGTAACACTATTTTTGATTTTTGGCTTCCATATTCAAAAGTCAGATATATCACCAATCAACAAAACAACAGATGCTAAGATGCTGAAATTTGTAATGACTTCTACAGGTTCTAAAATACACCTTTTTGCAACATTGCTTGGTTTACCCCAAATTTGTTTTTTTAAGTGGAAATGTTGCAAGAAGCTTTTTAAGTATAGCATATGCTACTTCAGCTATAGTAGAGTCCTCTTGAAATGCAGGTGTATGAGTCTACTGATATAATTAATCTAATTGTGAAACTTTCAGACTGTGAAGCAAAGATTGTACCCAACTGGATTTACACATTTCCGAGGATGGTATTCAGTTATGCAGTTTTCATGTTGCAGTAACCTACAGCCTCTTTAGCTTATAATTTCCTGAGTCTTTTAAAAAAGACAGACAGATGTAGAGATATTTCAGCTGCTCCAACCATTGAGTCGGACTCATTTGGAGTCCGGCTCAGATGCCTCTATACAAACACCCGTAGTATGGGAAATAAACAAGAGGAATTGGAGATGTGTGAAAGGCTACAGGGATACGATATCATTGGTATCACAGAAACATGGTGGGTGATTCCTGTGTCTGGAGTGTTGGAATGGAAGGTTACCGGCTCTTTAGAAAAGACAGGCCTGGCAAACGGGGAGGGGGAGTTGCTATTTATGTCAGTGACAGGCTGGAGAGTATGGAACTCTGTCTGGGGAAAGGTGAGGAGTCTGAACAGAGAGCTTACGGATTAGGATCAAAGGAAGAACAGCAATGTGGGACATTACTGTGAGGATCTGTTACAGGCCACCTAACCAGGAGGAATCTGTGGATGAAGCACTCTACAGACAGATAGGAGCAGCCTGACGTTCGCAGGCCCTTGTCCTCATGGGG